ACCCCCCTTCCCTCCTCCCTCCTCCCTCCTCCTCCTCCTCCTCCTCCTCCTCCTCCTCCTCCTCCTCCTCCTCCATCATCATCATCATCATCATCATCATCATCATCATCATCATCATCATCATCATCATCATCATCATCATCATCATCATCCACTTTCTCCTCCAACCACTCAGCCACCTTGACTTTCCTCTCTTGCGCGCAGGAAACTTCCTCTATGTCGGGGGACATGCACAGCATCTTCTATAATTTCTTCTCCCTCCATCGCCAGAAAGACGCGCAAGTCATCGCGAACGAGCTTATGGCCCTCCTCAAGGTTAGGCCCTCTTCCTCCCCTACTCCTTGTCCTCCTCTCCTCCTCGTTCTCGTCTTCTTGTCTCTGCCTCTCGCCACCTTTCCTTCTTCCGCCTCTCCTGCTCTGCTCTCCTGCTCTCCTCTGCTCCTACCCTCTCCTCCCCTCGCTCCTTTCTGTCTCTCTTCCTCACCAGTTCTTACCCTTTTCTCTCAGCGGAGAGGCCTGGTAGACAACACCATCTTCGTCGTGATCAAGATTGACCAGCTTGGAAACCTCCGATCGAGCAGCAACAGCGGCATCTACATGGCGGGCGAAGGATGAGAAGAGGAGGGCAGAGGAGGGGCGGGAGCTGAAAAATGAGGGAGGGAGGGACGGAGGGAGGGCGGAGTGGAGGAAAGAATCAGGGCAAAGAGGTCAGGGGTGAGACACAGATAAGAGAAATGTAGGGGAAAGAATGGACCAAATTTTAACCACACGTGAAGATGATGTGAGAGGATGGAATAGAGAGATCATGAGATGGAAGACGCGTGCGGGCTGAGGAGGAGGAGGAGGAGGAGGAGGAGGAGGAAAAAGAGGCCTCACAGCACAAGGGAGGCGATCATGACGACTCGTTTTATTGTTTAGATCATGTTGTAATGTAAAGATAAAGATACTTCCCGTTGTTCACACCCTCTCACAGATTCCCCTCATGATGTGATCGTGCATGAGATAAGCCTCGCGCACCTGCGGCTCAGTCAGCACAGTGGAGGAGGGTCGAGGAAAAGGCGAGGGTGGCATCGGGAGGAGGAGGAGGGGGAGGCACTGAGGGGTTGGACTCACAGGAAGTTCGAACTTCTTGGTGTAGGTCTTCACGCCTGCCTGCTTGACGTACTCGACCTCGAGGACGGACTGAGGGACGAGGAGGAACCAGAGCAGCGCGACGAAGAGGAAGGCGCCGAAGAGCACCATGATGGAAGAGACCTGCCAAGAGACAGTCAGAAGCAGCAAGGGGAGATGGATCGTCAGGTCAGACGGAAGAAGACGATGATGGAGTTGTTGTTGATCATAATGATCCTCATGATGTTGATGATGACTATAGAGATGAAGATGCTATGGTGGAGGAGAAGTAGGAGACGGCTAGGAGGCATCGGGTACGCACGAACCATGTAGATAACGTCATTGGGGACCATGTTGATCCACCCGACGAGACGATCGTCGGTGATGAACTTGAGAAGGGACGGTTTCCATTCCAAGACGATGTCAACGAAGAACCCGAGGAAGATCCAGTTGAAGCCTCCTGCAAGCACCTGTCTCAGCTCCCCGCTCCTGCCGTGCAGTCCCACGCACCAGACAGCATCTCGGACGAGTGGAGGGTACAGATACCAAGGTTGAGAGATCCTGCGGGAAAGACGTGAGTGAGAAAATGTGTGAGTAACAGAGGAGGTTGCGAGCTGGGAGGGAGAAGGAGGAGGAAGAGCAACGGGAACAAAGAGGGCGACGTGGGGAAGGGGAGGGAAGTGAAGGAGATCACCGTCAGTGTGCAGGGAGGCCTTGTGAACATGCTCATGGAAGATCGACTCTTCGTTGGTTGTGAGCACAGTCGATCCGAACAAGCACCTGCACACACGTCAACTTCTTTCCTTACTCTTCCTCCTCTGCCTCATCACCTCTTGTCGTTCTGGATGACAATACGCTTGCTGGTGACCGCCAGAGCGTACACGTTGCCGCCGCAACCACACATGAGCGTGTCGATGAATCCGGGGAGAACTCTCTTGCTCTGCGTCGCCGTCATAAGAATAAGAGGAGGACAATACAGAGATCGCAGCCTTCACCTCACTCCAGTACAGCTCCTCTCCATGAGCCGTCCTGAACCAGAGCAGATCTTGGTCGTTGGGAAGGTTGTCATGAGGATTGTCAGACCAAGTCCCGATCTTGGAGTGCTGCAAGACGGAAGTGTGAGGGAAGGAGAGGAGGTGCGAGGGAGGGAGGATAGGAGGAAAGAGGGAGGAAGGAGAGGAGCGTGCTGCCACCTTCTGGTTCAGCTTGATATTCTTGTCATTGGCAGCAGAAGAATCCTCGTCCCACCTGGCGGAAATTTTAGCGCCAACGGTCATGCAGGATTTCGGTGGAGCTCATCACTTGAACTTAGGAAGGAACTTCTGCCAGATCTCGCACTTCCTGCGGGGAGACAGCGATGAGCGGGATCACAAGACAACGACTCCGTAGCCGTGGAACTCACCAGATGTAGTAGATGGCATACATGGTGATGAGGTAGACGCAAAGGTCAAGGTGCCATCCGAGCGCTGAGAGCAGGTCTCCGCCAGGAAGAACGTCGTCGACAGCATCCATGAGGTCGTGTTCAGCCTTGTTCAAGGCATCTCCTGCCTTGTTCGCCATCTCTGCCGCCTTCTTCTTCGCCTCCTCAGGATCCATGATGGGCGACTCTGCAGTGAGGTCAAGACGCCATCAAACTAGCCCCGAGCACATCAACAGCCATGAGCAGAGGACAAGTCAGACAAGTTCAAGGAACCCCCTTCGCACTCCCAACCGCAAGAGACGAGCATGCCATGATGGAACACGGTGACTGAGCTCACCGTCTTTAGCAGGTGCAGCTGCCTCTGGGGTTGGGGCAGCAGCCGGGGCAGCTGCAGCATCAGCCGGAGCCGGAGCGGCCGCATCAGCAGCGGGTGCTGCTGCTTCCTGAAGCTTCTGCATGCTGAGCTTCTGCCCACTGTGAGAGTCCTCCTTCAACACTCTCTTCAACTCCTTGTACGCGTCCTCTGCCTGCGACTCTGCCAGCACTCCTCGCCTGACCCCCCTGGACCCCGATGAGCCTCCATGAACGGCCACAGCGACGAGGACGAGGAGAGAGGCTGCTGCTAGAGCTGCTACTGCTCCTCCTCCTCTTCTCCTCTCCACCTCCTTCATCCTGGGCCGAACCAAAGGCACCGCCTCCTCCATCTTTGACTAGCCCCGGAAATAGACCCAGCCGAAATAGAACCTCCCCTGGGGGCAGGGGGTGATAACCTCTACCCCCGATATTCCAGCTATTCATGAGTAATTTAGAGGGGTGCTTTGGTAGTTTTCTAGCACCCCGGTACCGTGCCAGGCCCAGGCTGATGAGTCGATGAATCCCTCAGTGACCTCATCCGGCCGGCCGCGGGCCCGGCGCGCCGCCCGGCCGAACATCAACTCCCTTCCGGAAGTTCAAGTTTCACTGTCAACCGGCGACACCGAGCTCGGCGGCCCGCGGCGAAGTCAGCGCCGGAGTCAAGTTGACGGACTAGCCTTCGGAAACCGGGTCACACTGAGCCTGTGCTGATCGGCGATCATCGGATCGGACCCGGACCGTGCCCCCTCCGAGTGGCGGCACTTGAAGGGCCTGAAGCCGCCTGGCACTGCATACTCAGTGACTCGACGGGTGACGGTTCACTGCAATCGGATCGCCGGGCTCGGCCCCCGATCGGCCCATAGTGCGGCAGCCTCAGTGTAGCCCGGCGGGCGGTACTATACTACGGGTAGCGCGGCCCCGGCCGAGGGCCCGGGCCCGGGCGGATCATCATGCTCAGTGCGGGGGGCCGCCCGGCCGGGCTGCGGCCAGCCTGACTCAGCCTGCCGTCGGCAGTGAGCCTGGCAGACTTAAGACGGGCCTCGCGCTCACTGAAGACCACTACCGGGGTGACCCCCCCTCTGATATGCCACCACTAGGGGTACTACTCTTAGTCTGTCGTACGTACTGCACCCACCCCTGACCCCTGGTCCAAGAATACCTTGACGTACCATGCCGCACTGACCCTTTCATACAGTACCCCTGCTTTTACTATGACTAAGAAATGTCCGATATGGGGTAGGGTACCGTACAGGACTCGCTAACAACTACCCACCCGGTGATACGACCGGTAGCGTGTCACTAGTCAGAAGGACCCCACCCCTTTAAAGCTTTCACCCCCACCCATCGGACCAACGATAGTATGCCACTACCCACCCACACCCAGGAAGTTAAGTATGGACCCTCCTACCCCTATTTATTGCTACAAAAGACCCCGTCTAAGTACCTTTTCTCATGGTACCTTCCAAGGTGACTATCCACCCCATACCACCAAGAGTGATAACCACCCCTACTATTGATATACCCCACCCCCCCCCCCCTTTAATCACTTTCCCCACCGCAAGTTTTCTTTTTGAAGTAAAGAAGGGCCTCAAGTTTGCGGCTCTCCAGACCTCCTCGTTGACCCCCATAAATCTCACTCAGTTCCAAATTATGAGAAATATAATCATTTTTTATATAAATCATGCTAATGTTATATAAATTTATTTCATAAATTTGTATAATTTATCCCGGTGGGTTTACCGTGGGTCAACGTGCCACTTGCCGAAGATGCTCTAACCTCCCATGCCCTGTAGCGGTGTTAGCCACGGTCCTCGTTGACAGCGGCAGCGGAGAGAGAGAGAGCAAGAGGGAGTGAGAACTGTGGCCGACGGAGAGTAGAGAGGAGAGGACAGAGGAGAGGAGGCAAGAGAAGGAGGAGCAGGGTCATAAGCTTGGCTCTCCTTCTCAAAACAAGGCTCTCAAAGCAGATCAGGCCGAGCGAGACGGGAGAAGTTCCTGTGACTACATCGACGGACAAGGAAAAGAATTCTTGTGCAGAAATCTCGATACATCAAAGCTGGCCCGTGGTTCTCCATAGGAAATTTCTTGCGGTCGTCTCCCTAGGAGCGTGCGATGAAAGTTCGGACCTCTTTAGATATCCTTGCAAGAGATCTCTGCATGCTCTTTATGCCTGATCGGGTTCGAACCTGTGCTTCTCCCTCTTAGAACGAGTGCTCTCGACTTGTAGGTCTTACCATGAAGATCTGCTCTCTTCATCTCCTTGGGCTTCTTGCCATGGTGCTCGTGTCGGTGTGCGCTGACGGGCAAGGTCCCAACAGCAAGCTTCGGATGGAGAAGATGGAAGCTCGGATGGCGCGCATGGAGGAGATGCAGAAGCATCTTCTAACGACTCTTACTCAGAACGAAGAGCTGACAAACCGAGTGACAGCGCTCGAGCAGCAGATAGCAGCGTGGAACATAGGTGGCATTGTCAAGAACATCACTGCGATTGAAAGTATCATCAAGAGGCCTACGAACGACGGAGATATCTCATGGAAGCTCATCAGTTCGGGTCTTGTGCTGATGATGACCATCCCTGGCGTTGCTCTCTTCTACGGAGGGCTCGTTCGTGTACAGAACGTGCTGTCGACAGTTATGCAGAGCTTCTCCATCGCGTGCCTCGTCACCATCCTGTGGGCGGCGTTTGGATACAGCTTGTGCTTCGACACAGGATCGCCAGTCTTCGGAGGAGCAAAAAAGTTCTGGTTGCAGAACGTGTACGGAAATCACCGTCATCCGCTATCGCCAACAGTTCCAGAGCCGTTGTTCTGCATGTTCGAGCTAACCTTTGCCATCATCACCCCCGCGCTCATCAGCGGCTCTTTTGCTGACAGGATGCGGTTTGGTCCTACCCTGGTCTTCATTGCCTTCTGGCACATCCTTGTATACTGCCCGATCGCCCACTCCATGTGGATGACCGACGGGTTCTTGCACGAGGCCGGTATCCTGGACTTTGCTGGAGGCAACGTAGTGCACATATCAGCCGGCTGCTCTGGCCTCATGTCGTCAATCGTTGTGGGGAAGCGAACGGGATACGGCAGGGAGCAGGTGAGGAGCAAGTCCTGTGCCTCGTGCTCTCATGGGTATGGACTGAACTTTCACCCTTATCAGTTCCAGCCCCACAACATCCTCATCTCGGTCCTCGGAGCATCTCTGATGTGGGTTGGCTGGTTCGGATTCAACGGGTGAGAAATGATCGGACTTGTTCTGAACACAATTGATCCTAATCTCTCCTTCCAGGGGTTCAGCAGAGTATGCCAACGGGCAAGCGACCATGGCCGTCCTGAACTCACAGGCAAGGGAGGGTCCTCCCGACATTCTTGAGTGACCTTTGCTGGTTGTTGCAGATTGCAGCGGCTACGGGCTCTCTGTCGTGGATGTTGACGGAGTGGAAGATAAGGAAGCGACCGAGGTAGACGAGACCTTTGCATCCCCTGAAAGGCTGAGCACCCTCCAGCGTCCTTGGGATCATTAGTGGAGCGATCTCTGGGCTGGTCGCCATCACCCCAGGAGCAGGGTGAGGGCTTGCAAGAGTGTTTGGGATGAATCTTGAAAGCTGTATGCTCAGATTCGTCGACAACACAGCTGCTTTCATCTTCGGCCTCCTTGCCGGGCCCATCTGCTACCTTTCGTGCCAGGCATCGCTCGATCTCTCGCGCTCTGTGCAATCCTGACGCTTCCTCTCCAGCTCAAAAGTCGCTTCGGGTACGACGACGCTCTGGACGCCTTCGGTGCTCCTTCCCATGAACGCCAGCAGCTCGTGCTGACGGTGCGGCAGGCATCCACGGCCCGGGAGGTTTCTTGGGAGGCATCCTGACAGGCTTCTTTGCCAACGCGAATGTCCAAATTCTCTCCCCTGTCAATGGCGCTTTCTATGGCAACCCCAAGCAGGTTCCCTCCTGTACCTCTCCGCCCATCCTGAAATCCTGACTACCCTCTTTCTCGTATATTCTTCCCTCGTGTCCTATCCCCTTTTCCCCTTCCATCTCTTTTCTAATGACGTACTCATCACTGCTCATCCCCCCTTCTTCTCTGTCTCCCGTTTCCCTCCTTCTCATTCATGATGAATTCCTTTCTGATCCGGGTACTTCGTAGATTTACTTGCAGCTCTATGGTATCGCCATAGCGGCAGTTTGGTCCTGCGCTATCTCCTTTCTCCTCCTCAAGGTCCTTCCTCTCCTCCACCTCTTGTTTCATGTGACGAGAAACGTTTTCAGCTGGTGGACTACACCATCGGGCTGCGTGTAGCCATTGACGAGGAGCTGCTGGGGCTGGACATGGTGAGTCATCATTCTCCTCCGCCTGCTCCTTCCTCCCCCTCTCTCTTCGCACTGCTGCTCAGCGCCCGTCACCCTCCTCCGTCCTCCACCTCACGCCGCTCTGACTTCCCCGGAGGTCTGCCACGGAGAATCTATGTTCCCTCAGAGATCTGCTGTACCTAGCGACTGGCCCAAGAGCGAGTACAGCGGCAGCCTGAGGGCAGAAAACTTTAACGTGAGCCGCCCTGATTTGAGGACCTCGCAGTGAGCTGACGAGAGTCTGGTAGGAAACGATCCGAGGGCAGCAGGACTGGCACGACGCGACCTTCCATGGGGAGGGCGAGGAGCAGGAGGCTGAGCTCACCGGTAGTCTAGCCAACGCGCCGGGCTGAGTCACCGCCAGGTCGCTTTCATGATCATTTCAAGTTTTATTGTTTGAGCCTGTAGACTAGTCTAAATAATGAATGCCACACAATCACAATGAACGGTTACTTTCGGAACCGTTGAATCATCCGCCGCTCCGACGAGCCGGGCTGCCGCCGGGCCGGCGGGGCGCCCGCGCCGTCCCGGATCCGATCGGATGGTCACGGTGGCCCCGCCACTACTGAGCCTGATCGGAGCCCAGCAGCCTTGGCACCCGGCCCTGCCCAGGGCCGGGTGGCCCGGCGGGTGGCAGTATGATCAACTTCGCGGAGCCTCCGGCGGGCCTCGGCCCTGAGTGCCCGGGAGGCACCGGCGTACCCCAGGGCACTGAAGCACACCAAGTTCGTTTCAAAATCCGTTACATTCCTACACCGCCGAAGGCTTTTTTTTTTGGTTGTACCTCTACGACTCCTACTGGGAGACTAGGGGGTAGGGGTACTAAATGTAGGGGTGGGGCACAGACACCGGTGCTTTCTCGGGACAAAGGAGGGGTAAAGGCAGCCCTCAAGCCAGAGGATTTCTTCTGTGAAAGTATGAGATGTGGTTGGGTACTAAGGGAGAATATAATTTTTCCGTGCTAACATTTTTTTTCACAATAAGTACAGAAAATTTATATAACAAGGTGAAAAATTGATAATTTCAAAGAATAGTAAGATCAAACATTTCAAATTCAAGTATTTTAATCAGATTTGGAGCCCCTTATTCAAAATGAAATATGAGCAAGACCACCCTACCATTTGAAGGATTCTGTGTGCCTAACCCCCTACCCCCTACCCCCTATCTTCTACCCTGGTGCTTGTCTCTAGGACTACCCCCTGACATGTCCACATCTCCGCCGCCTCCACATGCCGCCGCTACCTCCTGCTCCTGCTCTCCTGCTCTCCTGCTCTCCTGCTCCTGCTCCTGATCCTCCTCCCCCAATGATAAATCGATTGCTCCCCATCCTATCCACTCCATGGTTTTCACTCTTTCTCCCTTGCTCTTCCCTTCCTCTGACGTCTCCTCCCACCTTCCACGTTATTCCTCACTTTTTTGTTGCTTTTCCGTCAAGCCTTGCCTTGAACAAGCTTGTATACTCTCTCTACTTTCTCTATCTCTTGAAACTATTTCTAACTTCTCTGGATCCTCCACCGGCTTGTCTCGGTGCATTCGTGAGCATTGCTCTGATGCCCTGTCACTTTGGGCTATTCCTCAGCTTCTTTACAGTCTTGGTTGTTGTGATTCGGTATTCCGCCAGTGTAAAAACGACTTATTTGTCACCCTTGTTGATTTGTAATCATATACTTCATGCCGTGGCAATGAGATGCTTTCAAACAGTCTTGTCGAGTAGGTTTTGTGCATTCTATTTAGATTTGGATTCTCATGCGCCCCCATTCGTCATCTAGCTTCTTTGGATTCAGTTGTGCCCCCCTCCCATTGTTTTCATGAGAGAACAAAGGCAGTGCTGCAGATATGCAAGCATAGTTTGTATCATTGTAGGGAATGAAAGAGGAACTGAAGAGTCCCGTTGACCCCTGCGCTGCCGGTGTTCAAGTCCTAATGAATTGCCTTGATAGATCTCAAGGATGTCCGGGAAAGAGGCAGCGGGTGTTATCCAGTCCGTTTCCGGACCTGTTGTGGTCGCAGAGGTATGCCTCTCCTGTTCTTGACCCGAGCGTGTCTTGACGGATTCTTAGAACATGGCTGGATCTGCTATGTACGAGTTGGTTCGTGTTGGTACCTTGCGTCTGATCGGAGAGATTATCCGTCTTGATGGCGAGACTGCCACCATTCAGGCAAGCACTCCCTGGTGCACTCGTCGCGATGTGACGGAGCATGACAGGTTTACGAGGAAACTTCTGGTCTCACTGTTGGGGATCCTGTCGAGCGCACTGGAAAGCCTCTTTCCGTCCAGTTGGGCCCCGGTGTCATGAACCAGATCTTTGATGGTATCCAGCGTCCTCTTGAGGTTATCGTGAAGCAGTCCGGAACTGTGTTCATTCCTAGGTAGGGAATCAACGAGTTGAAATGAGTCCTCTGACCGCAAATCCTGTCAGGGGTATCGACGTTCTTGCTCTTGACATGGACAAGGCCTGGCCATTCAGACCCTCTCCTGAGTTCAGTGTGGGATCTATCATCACTGGTGGAGACATCTTTGGAAGTGTGCAGGAGAATGAATTGATTGAGCACAAGATCATGTTGTACCCCCGCGAGCACGGCCGCATCACCTGGATGGCCGGGCCTGGAAACTACAACTTGAAGCAGGACATCATTGAGATTGAGGCGGCTAACGGTCAGAAGAAGCGCTTCACTATGTGCCAGTACTGGCCTGTTCGCGATCCTCGTCCTGTCGCTGAGAAGCTTGCGGGCGATCACCCCCTCCTCACTGGTCAGCGCGTGCTCGATGCCCTCTTCCCCTCCGTGCAGGGAGGTACCTGCGCCGTTCCGGGAGCTTTCGGCTGCGGCAAGACCGTTATCTCTCAGTCTCTCTCCAAGTACTCCAACTCCGATGCTATTGTTTATGTCGGATGTGGCGAGCGTGGAAATGAGATGGCTGAGGTACAGCCTTGAATTGTAATCAGTTCGGGGGATCTCTGACTTGTTTGCAGGTTTTGATGGATTTCCCTGAGCTTACTATGGAGAAGGATGGCAAGGTTTACCCCATCATGAAGAGAACTACCCTCGTTGCCAACACCTCGAACATGCCTGTTGCTGCCCGAGAGGCTTCTATCTACACTGGAATCACCCTTGCTGAGTACCTTCGTGACATGGGCATGAACGTGTCTATGATGGCCGACTCCACCTCACGATGGGCTGAGGTGAGGATTGATTTTGAATGCGAAGATAAGGTCTGACGCGATATCATCAGGCTCTTCGTGAGATCTCCGGTCGTCTTGCAGAAATGCCTGCCGATCAGGTTTGTGTTGGTGTTGGCATCTCTCCTTGTTGAACTCGTTGGTTCAGGGTTATCCTGCTTACTTGGCTGCTCGTCTGGCCTCTTTCTACGAGCGTGCTGGAAAGGTTCAGTGCCTTGGCAACCCCAAGCGTACTGGTGAGTGCCCCGCTAGCTTCTGTTTCGGCAGCGGTTAACCACGTCGTAGGCTCTGTTACCATTGTTGGCGCCGTGTCTCCTGCTGGAGGCGATTTCTCTGACCCTGTGTGCGCTGCTACTCTCGGTATCGTTCAGGTACTGGGCTGATGGCTCCTGGGAATATTCCAAGTGACCTTCAACCCTACAGGTTTTCTGGGGTTTGGACAAGAAGCTTGCTCAGCGCAAGCACTTTCCATCTGTAAATTGGCTCATCTCCTACTCCAAGGTGAAGATTTTTTGATGCTCGTGTACACTGTGAGTGACATGGTGGGCAGTACGAGAAGCATTTGTCGAAGTTCTACGAAACTTTCGATCCAGACTTCATTAGGATTCGTACTCGCGTACGTTATCTTGTTCTTCTGCGCTCTTCTTTTCTTAGGTCCAGCGCAGGTTAGGGAAGTGCTGCAGACAGAAGAGGATCTCATGGAAATCGTTCAGCTTGTCGGAAAGGATTCGCTCGCCGAAGGTCCTTCACGTGCGCTGCCGCCCTTGTCTCCTTAACTCTGCCCTCAGCCGACAAGATCACCCTTGAGGTGGCCAAGATTATCCGCGAGGACTTCTTGGCTCAGAACGCCTACTCTCCCTACGATCCTTGCTGCCCCTTCTACAAGAGCGTCTGGATGCTCAAGGTCTGAAACGTGCAGCGTTTGCTACATGCTGGCTGAAGTTAGCCGCAGAACATCGTCAAGTTCTACGAGAGCTCGTTGAAGGCTGTCGAGCTGTCAGCTGGCGATCGCAAGATCAACCTCAACATCATCAAGCAGCAGATGGGTAAGACGATCTACAAGATCACCGCTATGAAGTTCGAGGACCCCAAGAACGGACGGGAGGCCCTCGAGACTGTCTACAAGGCTCTTGAGGGTGAGATGTGACCTCTTTGCTTTCGTCTCCTGACGTCCGGCCGTGCAGAGGAGATCACCCAGCAATTCCGCAACCTCGAGGACATGTAAACGACTTAGGACTCCTTCACTCTTTTGCAAAATTGTTGAGGAACATACAGCGTACGAGTTGATAAAACTGCAGCGATGAACAACCTCGTGTACTCTCCTGATATAGATCTCCTCCTCGTGGTCACTGTCGGTGCACAAACCTGCCCTCCCTACTGGTCGCGATCTTTCACAGTTTAGATTCCGAGAGGCTTGCTACCGCCGAAGCTTCGTTCGAACAAGCTGCCTCGAGATCTTGCCCTGGCAAGCCGAACAAACTCGCTCTCTTTCGGGGCTTGTGAAGGTTTCTTCACAGGTGAAGTGAGCAGCGAAGAGAAAGCGGTCAAGAGGGAACCTGCACATCTTTGACGATGACTTGGGCGCTTCCAATCATCCAGTTCACGGGCTTGGGAGGAGGGCTGGACATGAGTTCTCGAGCTCTGATCCGCTCCTGGATGCTCACTCCTGGCTCCTGCCACCCCCCCGTCATCGGCGCGCACAGGCCAGTAACACGCTGACTCCCCCTCACCTTGCCCGGCGGATACTGGGACAGGCGCGAGAGGGGACGGCGAGACCTCTTGGAGGTCTCCAGGTTGAACGGGTCGGGCACAGTGTTGGGCCGTGTGCTGTTGCCGAGCACGCCGTACCTCGAGAGCAGGCTGCCTCTCCTCTGTCCGAACTCAGGGCTGATGGGCGGCATGACCACGGAGGGAGACGGGCTCAGAGAGTGTCTTCGCAGGGCAGCCGCGTCGGGATCAGCATTTGGCTTCCCGCTCATGTACGGCCTTCCCTGTATGTACCTGATCCCCCTGCTTTCCGCATTTGGGACCTTCCACATGGAAGAGGAGGGAGAGTTCTGGTTTCCACCTTGCCAGAAAGTGTTGATGGTCATCAGTAGAATCGGAAGACTCCTGCGACTGTTCTGCTCTCGAGATAGCCCAGGGTCTGACTTCAATCAACACCTACTGTAGTGCACCGAGATGGAATGGACTGGGAGGAAGGAAAGCCCTGATCAAAAAGCCACTCGGTCACATTTTGTCGGGACAAGAAACAGTGTTATTTGAGGCTTGTCCTCCCCTCTTATCTAATATCCTCCTCGTGACCTACTTCAACGGCAGCCCTTCCAGCATAGGTCGTACGCTGAGGACCTGTCCAAGTGTTTCTCTTCCTTCTTCTTCTGCCTTGCTGCCAATCCATTGCTCCTTTCATTGCATGTCTTCCTGTTTGTTCTGACTTCTCTCTGTTCATCATCTCCATTTCTCCATCCACCTTGTTCTGCTCTGCTCAACTCTACCGTGCTATGCTGTGTTCACCTCACCTCCAGCCTCTCTCTTCACTCCTATCCTCTCTCTCCCCCTCTCTCCTCCTCTCTCTCCTCCCTCCTCTCTCTCCTCCCTCCTCTCTCTCCTCCCTCCTCTCTCTCCTCCCCCTCCTCCCTCCCTCCCTCCCGCCTTCCCTTCTCTCCCTCCTTCATATGGCATTATCGGCTCGCGTCTCGTCGGTCAACATGTTTTGGTCACTTTCATTTTCATGTACACCCCTCCATTTGGAAATTTTTACAAAAATACCCCTGTTGTTTACCTCCAAAGTACCCCGTCCATAGAGTCTTCGTACCACCCTTACCCCCCCTTCTTCCTACCCAGTTAACTCCCCAAGTCCATAAAAAAACCTTCAAGGTTGAACTTATAAAACCTACCCCCTCCACATCTCTTTCAGAACCCCACCCCCACTTTAACAATATCCACTACCCCACCCCCTATTTGATTTTGCTTTTAGTTCTAATGTACTGTATCCATGGTATGGATACAATTCAAGACATGCACCCCACCCTGTCAACAGTCACTAGTACCCCCACCCCTTCTTTTCCAACTAATGAGTCAACCACCCACCCCAAAGTCAAAAGAATTAAAAAACGACCCAAAAAAACACTCCAGTCCTCCGAAAGGTTGAGACCACCCTACCCTACCTTTTCCACCATCCGTTCGTGACCCCTACCATCTTATTCCCACTCTTTTAACCCCTCATTGAAGTACCCAAGGCTCACCGTACCATATGACCCCACCCCTTCTACGTACTCCGGACAAAAGAGTACCCTCCCTTCAGTCCTTATCAGTACCCCTAGTACCCAGCGCAATCCGTGACATAGACCGATTTGCAGGCACAGCGGCAGTCCGATCCAGTTGATTCAGTGAGCCCCGGGCCCGGCAGTGAGTCGCCGGGTGCGGCAGTGCAGGAGACCGTCCCCGGCCCGGCCCGGGCCGGGCCGGCGGCCCAATCAGGTCACCGTGATACTGAGTGGACTTCGAAAAGCGGCTACAAGGTTGAATGGCAAGAGACTGTCCCAGTGTATTGACCGTGAAATTCTACGTGAGAGTCATGCAGTAGCCTACTACTGTGAGTGTGAAGCGTCCAGTCCCTCTCCCGCTTCGTCCTCCGCAACTTGTTTCTTGATCGTCTTGGCTGAGATGCGAGCTCGGCACTCGATCTTGTTGGCTCGTACGAGCCTGGAGAAGGCCTTGAGCACGAGAACCCGCGGGTTCTCAGACCTCGTCTGGTAGATACGGGCCAAGGCAACGGGGTTGGTCATTGCAAAGTGAATCTCCTGAGGGGAGATGAAGATTTCCTCCGCCGCCGAAGCCTCCGGCATGCTGCCCTCCGTCGCCTTCACCTCGAGGTACCAGTCCTTCTCGTCGGTTCTCACGACGAAGTCGAAGGGCTTCAAGGACTCGCCGTCCTCGTTCACCCACTTGAAGTCGAAGTGGTTGGACGACAGCCAGGCGTTCATGATCGCCTCCCCGATCCTGCAGCATGTCAGCTCGCCTCGCAGTCGCACAGTCCTCTCCTACCTTCCCGTCTCCGATGAGCGCTCCTGGTCCTGAGGGACTGAGATGTTCGCGAGCTCATACGCTTCCTCCTCCCCCTCTCCCTCCTCTTCCTCGTCGTCCATGCTGGGCATCATGAAGTGAAGGTGCCTGGGGAGTCGGACAGGCATCGGCACTCGTACCCGCTCCTCCGACGAGAATGCCAGGGGGTCGCGGATAGTCTGAAGCACGCTCCGCTCGGGCTCACCGGGCGATGACGTGGCAGCTTTCAGTCTCAGTCGCTCGATCTCACTTAAGCGATTTGCATTGATCTGCTTTGAGACATCTGAGAAATCGAAGTCTCCGTCCTCCACCAACTCCAGCTCTTCCTCTTCATGCAGCTGTATCCTCTGCATCGCCGCGGATATACCGCCATCGTTCCCTGCTGGGCTCCTGGTCGAGAGGCCAAGGCTGCTCCTGATGGAGCCTCTCACGGCCTCTTCGATCTCCGAGTCTCGCGTCCCCTGCAGAGCACGTCACGTCAGGATATCACACAGGCAACTCGAGCTGACCTGCAAGTCCAGCAGCGCAGACAAGCATCGCACAAGCTCATGAACGATGTCATCCCCGTCAGACATGTGACTCAGCGTTCCTTGCACCACGCTCATCACCCTCTCTCCGCCCACACGCTGGCTTGTCATTCTCTTCTCAACGGTGAGAAGCTCCTTGAACTGCTTGTCTGGCTGCCTGATGCCGATGTGGACGTAGAGGTCGTGGACGCAAACAACTTGCACCGAGTGAGAAGACTCGCCAGCAAACCTCTTGACGGCCTCCAACACTGAGCACAGGATGAGGAGATCCGGGTCTGATACCTCCAGCTGTTCTCCTCGGCTCTCAGCTTCTGAGTCAGGGAGGAAAGAAAGCTTCTCATCTCGACGGCCCGTCGAGTCGCTGGCAACTGAGATCGTGACCTTCATGCCTGCCACCTTGTCCTTTGCCTTCACCTCTTCCTCAATGCAGCCCGCCAGGTGCGGCAGGCCCAGGACCTCATGGTAGAATCTCGCGAGGTGGAGGGGATAGCCTTTGACCGCGACCCCGCCCTGATCAGCCCTGAAAGGCTTCCCATCGGATACGTCAAAGTGCCGCAGACAGACCGACTGCTTCACGACATCCATCCAACGGGCAGAGGACTGAAGCTCCATGGCACTGAAGCCAAACTGACCTCCAAGCGCCTCAAGCCTCGGGGCCACAGCATCGTCCTCGTAGATGGCCAGGCACTCACTGAGGGCCACAGAGGAGCCGTCGCTGCCGGGGAAGCGAACATCATGATCCCTCATCTGCCTGACGGCAGTCTCGAGCTGCAAGGCTTTCTCGACCCACTTGTTCCTCAGCGTCGTCTCACGCACGAGCGCCAGCAGCTCCTCCAGCGTCCTGGGGTGAGCATGCGGCTGGTCGGCAAAGAGAGGCTTCAGGTTGCTCCTGGTGTCGTCGAACTCGAAGGAGAAGTGGACGAGGACTCGAAGTTGGCAAGCAAGCTTCTCCACGGCAGTGATCTTGGAGGACGACTCTCTCTCCAGACGCCTCAACAGGCTGGTATAGAACTCGTACGGCGGCTCCTCCCTCACTCCGAACCCCGAGAGCACGTCCAAGACGTTCTTGTAGTAAGCTTCCACAGCACGGAAGTCTCCCTGACAGCAGTAGTCGTTCATCCCCCTCGTCACTTCTATTCTGTCAGTGTCAAGGAGGTAGCTCGGATCCTTCAGCACCAGCGACGGCGCGCTGTACCACTTGCCCGCCGTCTCCACTGACGCATCCAACACGTACTTCTCCTTTCCTTTCTGCGTCACCAGACTCATCACCGAATGCTTGTCAGGCACGAAGATGCATCTCCGCTCACTGCTGGAGTTACAGCTGGACTGGTCTGATCGCAGGCACTTGTAGACGCTCTCCATGAAGCTCAGTGACAGAGGCGTTGAAGAGCTTCTCCAGTGCTCCAACTGATCGAAAATGTTGCTGGGCTGCAGCTGGGAGCTGATTCCAAGGCGCTGGGAGAGCTTCACGTCCAGATTGTCGACGTCTGGGTAGATTCCTTTTGCCCCCAGGACTCTGTAGACGTGCTCGGTCCTCTGAAGGAGAAGCTGCGGGGGATGGAGCTGACCGTCAGTGCCTGGGAGCTTGGCTTCCTGGCGGAGGAAGGTGAGAAAAGCTACCTCGCCTTCCTCCGGAAGACCAAGAGCCTGCTCGTACTCCTCCTGCCAGACATCCGAGAGCAGAGAGAAGAACAGCTGCAGTCTCCGTCGCCTCGGCTCTGGAGCTCCATCCGCTTCGACGATGGACCGATAGAGGCTGCACATCTCTTCTGAGGTGTATCCAGGTTCTCGGACGTGGCAGAAGGTCAAGATCCCCAGCCCAAGGAAGACCGCCCTCCATCCTCCCGCATCCTGTTCCTTCTCGAGGTACTTGGAGCTGACCAACTTCCAGGGGACAGGGGACATGGAGCCGGAGGATCTCCCGACGATGTCGGTCACTCGGTCCGCATGCTTGGAGTAGCTCGGGCCCTGATGCAGCGCGTTGCAGCTCCACACACGATCTCCTTGCTCGTCGAGCAGCACGATGCCTTTCTGCCGGATGTCGAGCAACATTAGCCGCCTCACCTGCTCACTCTGCTGTTCCAACACCTTCTTGAGCAGAATCAGCCCGGTCACCAGATCCTTCTCCTCGCTCTCTTGGTCATGCAACACGGGCATCAGTTGGCTGCGCAGGAATGCTTCAGCGTTGTTCCAGACCACATTCATCTCCTTCAAGAAGCTCTTCAGGCCGCGACCGTACATCTGGATCTTCTCGGCGAACAAGGGATGGAGGATGCGGAAGGAGGGGGAAGGATCGAGAGAAAGATCAAAGACGTCTTGAAGCACATACACACTCTTCTCCTGTGGCCTGACAAAGTCGCCCGAGGCCAGAGGGATCAGTTTGCGTTGCAAGACCTCCCGAAGTACTGCCACGTCCTCCTCGTCTCTCAGCTCGTTGAAGATCCATGCCAAGCACTCCATAGTCAGGTCGTCGGAGAGGCTGGACTGCAGCCGTTGCTCCAGATGCTTCAAGATGGATGGGAAGACTTGCTGGAGGCGTCTGATCCCCAGATGTTCGCCGAGGACCTGGTACTTGGCGACGGCGTCGTGCACAAACCCCAGTCCTTCCTCGGCGAGCATCTCCTCCAAGAAGCTGATGACTTCACTCTCCACCTTCCGCGGCCTCCACACGGCACAACGAGCCTTGACAAACTTTCCGGTCCTGAGGGGAACAAGCTCAAGGCTATCGATCGCTCTCCTGATCTGATCAGGTACAACCGCGAAGAAGTCGTTGACCTCTCCTGGGGTCGGGAGGACAGACATGACCACCCGCGTGTACTCTCCTACATGCACGTCTCTCTCAGCTTCCTGGTTCTGCTTCGTCGCTGACAGGTACCTCTCCTGCAACTCGCGTATCAACGTAGGAAAGTGTCTGGCTATCCCATCGCGGAGGCGCAGGTTCCTACTGTCCATGGTGTCCACCGACTCCCTTGACGAGGTGACGGCGAAGTCTCCGTTGACGATGAAACGGAACCCGTAGCATCTCACCGGGAGGTACGCAAAGACATCTCTCTGCTGGTAGTCCTGCTCGGCTCCCAGCTCGTGCATGAAAGGAACCGCCAGCTGGAGGCAGAGGTCATCCTGCGTCTTCTCAGCCACGTTGGTCTTGAGCACCAGCCAGTCTTGGCTCGACTCCTCGCCGTCCACGACCTTGGTGAGGCTGACCAAGTCAAAGTTCCCCTCCGTCTCAGCTTCTCTCCTCATCCTCCTGATGTGCACGGAGCCATCCTGTGCCCTCGCGTCGTGTATCTCGATCACCCTCAGCTTCCGCAGGAAGAGCAGGATCGTCTCCTCCAAGTCCTTGATGCATGCTTGGATCTCCCGTCGACGGCTGCTCGCGATGGGAAGCACGATCTTCGTCCCGGAGCCAGCTCGCCATCCTGCTGGGGGAGGAATTGGTTGAGGGACGATGTACTCCAACCCCGCGCTCTCCTCCCCCTCCTTCGCCTCTGCCGCGAGCTCGAAGTGGAACTCGTTGGAATGGATCTTGGGCTTGCTGCAGATCTTGAACACGCTCTTGAACCCTATGCCCTTGTGCCCTATGAAACCCTTCCTGTTGGCTTTGCTGCTCTGGCCGATGGAGCATATCGACTCGACGTCTCTCTCGCTGAACCCGATCTCGTTGTTCTCGAACTCAATCAACTCTTCTGTCAGCCGGATGATCAACGAGGGCTCCACGTCGCCCGTGTACGAGTTGTCATCACAGTTCTGGATGATCTGACAAACGCACAACTATCAGCTTCCTCTCCTCTACAGCCAACGATCTCACCTCGTGTATGTAGTGGATTTCCTTGGCGTACAGCTCCGTAGACAGTAACTTGAGTGAGCTGGAAACATCACAGTCAAGCATGTGCAACATCGATGAAGGACTTGTACTCACTTCTTCAACATCTTCCTCTGCTCTTCCACCACCTTCCTGAGCTCAGGATCCAGTCCCATGGTGTCGAGTTGAATTCCGTACTTGTTCCGAATCTTGCGGCATATCAATTCGGTCTTCGACTCTGCTTCATCCCCGTCATGTGTACACTTTCTCGCCTCAATCGCGCGCTCTTGTGCTGCTTCTCCATCTCCTCTGCTCTCCACCACCCCATCATCTCCGCTTGCCTCCGATGGCACTGGAACTGAACGCGGAGCTGCTTCCAACGGGTGCGAGTCGTCTCGTCTGAGGGTGAAGTTGAGGCGGGGGAAGGCGGCGGCCAACCGTTCAAGGACAACCTCGTGCGCCTCTGACTTGCATGACGCGACCAGTCGCTGGCTCGCACTCGTGGCTGAGCTCAAGAACGGCTCAGCAAAGACGGGAAGGCCCACGTCCCTCCGCAGCCGGGGGGGGACACATGCTATCGCGTCAAGGATGAAGCTTTCATCCGGCCTGTCAGCCTCGTCGCTTGTAAGCAACTCTGTGAAACTTCTCTGTAGCCTTGCTACGCTCTCGGCATAACAAGTGCCGGTCAAGAACACATGCCCCACAGCTGCCTGCGCCGCATCTCTCGCTCGTCGCCTGCAAACAGCTCCCTCAAAGTCAGTGAAGGTGCTGAGCTCGACCCGCACAAACAAGTCTGAGCTGATCTGAATCACATTCTTCACCTTCCCCTGCTTCCACTGCCTGTGGATGAAAGAAGAGAAGGAGCCGAGAACAGAGCCGTACTCTTCCCAGTCTACCCATTCCTGGATGTCTTGTAGGGGAGGAACCCTCTCGATCTTTCTCAGAACCTCTTGTCGCTTGCTCTCCACGACAGGTTCTGCGTCACTTGGCACTGCATCCTGACGTTTCTCCTCCAACAACCTCCTCGAGAAGGCAAACGGCATTCGAGCATGCTGACTGTCAGGCCCGTACGTCTTGAGAGCCTCAACGAAACTGTCACCAACCTCACAGTTGAAGTTGACCCGCAGGAACTCGCTGCTGATCGACGAGCTTGTCCTCTTGTCCTTGATGAGCTCCTGCAGCATGCACGCGACGTCTCTCAGTCGCTCTCGCGCTCCCCCTTCGAGCTCGAGCAGCTGCCTTGATGCTCCTTGACTCGCGTCCATCACGAGCTTCTCCTCGAGCAGCTTCTCCAACTGCGACGAGTCGATGCAGAGCTCCAAGAAGCTCTTCCCTCCTGACATCGCGGCGAACTGCTCCACCCCATTCTTCTTGCAGATTCTGTCTTCCAGCTGCTGAAGTTGATCCACAACCTTCCAGACGTTCTTCACGCTCACTGTCTTCATGCACTCCATCTCACCCTTGACTGCGTTCAGAGCATCTGCCGATGACGCCTCCGGGGCCTTGACTAGGTTGCACTGGTTGATAAAGTCGCACAGCAGCTGATTCTCACGGATCAGCTGGACCACCGAGGGAAGCGAGGAAGGGCCAGCGTGTCTTTGATAGATGTTGTCAAGCTCAATGAGAACCGACAGCACGTCTCTTGCTTGCAAGCGAACGTTGCCTATCGCAGCGGCAAACTCTCCAAGAATGGTCTCAACGTCGACATTCCTGACTGAGTTTGCTGGACGAGCTTCCACTGCAGTGGGCATGGCGGCCCCGCGCTCCGCTGGCAAAGGTGGAGCTCCAGTGATGTACATTGCCATGTACAGGAGCAGAGCAAGATTGTGATGAATATCACTTCGCTCCTCTCGCCGAACTGTGAGAGACATCTTGGGTGTGTTGTAGCGGAGGGCCAAAATCTCTGTCTTGATGTCTTGGATGATCCTTGAGAACGCTGCTGCGGTCCATTCCATGACTTTCCAAGTCTCTTTCAGATATCTACAGGCTGATGCTTCCGGGTTGTCAATCGCAGCTTGTATCTCTTGACATCCGCTTCTGATCAACGACATGTAGGACGTACGATCACCTCTTTCAAGAAGCCTCAGGTCCCGCTCGTGAAGTTTGAAAAGAACAAGCTCTGCAAGGTGGTCGGAGCTCATGGCCTCGACCGCTAGCACGTCTTCTCCATGGTCAGCGATGATCTCCAGCACCAGACGGTAGAGAATCTGCGGCCTCCTCCCAAACTCTTCGCAGAACGGCAGGAAGAGATGATGTTCGCACTCTTTGATCTCCTCGCAGACTTTCTCCCTCAGCCGATACTCATTGCACATGTCGCACAAGTCAACATCTGGACAAGAACCACACGACCATCGTGTTCCTTGAATCAAAAACAAGCAGACGCTGCATTGCGTTTCTTCATGCACTTCTAATCCATCGAAGGTCGGCATGACACTGACAGAAGGACACAAGTCTTCGCCCTCGCCAAGCAGATCGGACAAACCAGCGTTATTCTGCAACACTTCCTGAATGCATTGCAGAGCTCTCCCATGATCCATCCCTGCAACCAGAGCTCTCAGCCGATGCCACCATATCACCCCGCGCTGCATGCCGGTGAAATGATTCTCGACGCGCATGTGCCCCATCCTCTCTGCGAATTCTTGCTTCACCTGCTTGAGATTTGCTCTTGCGAACCTTTCTGCCATCCTAGCAAAGAAGTGAACAAGTTTGCTTCTGTCAATATACAGGCAGAGATCGCTGCTGCTCTCGTATCCTTTTTCGACAGCCAGATCGTTCATCGCTCCTTCTACCTCCTGAAGAACATCCGCGTCTTTTCCCATCTGCATTTGAGCAATCTTCAGCAAGACTTCCAGGGTAGTTATCGGAGGGATGTTGTTGCGCTCAAGGATACTCTCGGATGGATGGAAATTTTCCTTGACTTTGCGGAAGTGGAGCAGAGATCCGACATGCAGGTCGTCGAAGCTCGACAGGCCGTCGAGATCTTTCAGCTTGAACATCATCTCCCGTACATCGTGCAGGGTTATCAGCCAGTTTGTTGCGATCGCCGAGCTTATCACCAGGTTGATGTTCTTCAAGACTCTCTGCATGTTGAACAGGATCCCATTCGCTTCTCTATTCCTCTTCAACCTTTCCATGTCCGTCCGTTTGCCCAGCTCGCGTTCAAGGACCTCAAAGTCCAGGTAGCCATGCTGAGCGATCACGGAGGCTGCAACAATGTTGACCATGGCGCTGAAATTTATTCCATCGTTCTGATTCCAATGTCCATTCATAAAGGTTTGATGATTCCCCCTCCCCCTCCCCCCTCCAAGATCCCTCTCGTGCTCCGCGGGTCCCTGATAAACTCGATCCAAAGGTATGCCGTTATGATAAGTTGGATTTCTCGCTGTTGCCATCTCCTCCTCATACAAATCTGCTTGTCCTTGTCCCCGTTCTCTGGGGGCATGCAGATATCCTCCAGAATCTTCAAGTCGCCTGGATCCCCGGCCCGCACCCCGTCTACCAAATGTTCCCCTACCACCCTCCATGGCGCCCACAAGTCCTCCACGCGTTCCAAAGTCTTGATCCTGCTCGACTCTTGGCTCTCCTCTTCCTCCGTCTCTACCTAAGTCGGTGAATCCTCCTCCTCCTCCTCCTCCTCCTCTTCCTCCTCCTCGCCCCCCGCGTCCTCGCCTGCCCGAACTGTGCATCACAATCGACAAACTTGGTTTCCAGCAACAATTTGAAATTATTCAGGTGAAGTTTTCAATATTTATATTTAATGTTCAAATATTCTGCAAACATGCAGAAATCCTTCTGTTCCTAGCTAGCTCAGTGTGTCATCACGGATTGCCCTCGTCCCAATTCTGCCGCACTGATAGCCGGCCGGGCCGGGCCGGGCCGGGCCCGGCGGCCGGTTCTTTGAAAGTGGGCCAGGCGACTGAGAGTCTTCGGAGTTTCAGCTATAAATCTCCAGGGTGAAAATGCGTTTGTTCGTGTTCTTAAAACTTAGAGTTTTAAAAGTGGTATCCAGTGGACCCTGTGCTAGATTCCTGAACACAGGCGCTGACCAAGGGGACCCCCTCCTACTACCATCTATTACCCCACCCTATGCACCGGCTCGGAGCAGCCTATTGACCGTCGATTGACTACCACCCCCCTCAGGGACCCTTTTAACCACCCCCTGTGTGTCTTGTCTCAGGTGTTTAGCAGTGACCCGTGTGACAAGGCACCCACCCATCTGACTACCCCTTCATACATGGCAAATTCACCTTGAACCCCTGGTAGCCTCGCACCCCAAGAAGTACCCCCACCCCCCTCACTATCACTCGCCAGGTCCATTTTCCTGCGACAAAATTGCCAGGCAGAGGTTAACCCCTACTACCCACCCGCACCCCCTAATTGTATGGAAAAGTACCCCTACCTCCCTCTCTTTTCCTCAACAAATCTCTGACCGCGGTACCCATCAAGCTGTACCCACCACCCAACTCTGATCATTACCCCACCACCCAACTTACATCAAAGCACCCACCTTTTCTCAAGGGCAAATTTGACAGATATTACAGGGACCCCTTACATGGACTGCACCACCGGTCATTTGGAGGCCTGGTTTGACATAGGTGCGAAAATCATGGCCCATGAAATTTTAGAGAGGAACAGCAATCTTTTCCTTCCCACCCTCCCTTCTCTCTCTCTCTCCCACCTCTCCCACCTCTCATCTCCCTTCCTCCCTTGCACCCCGTCTCCCTTCCTCCCTCTCTCGCCCCCTCCTAAGCCCCTGGCTCGCCCACTTTTCTACCTCCCGCGATGCACTGTCCACATGCTCCTGCAGCCTTCTTTAAGCACTTGGTCCTTGTTTTCTTCTCCTCCCGCTCCCTCGGGATGGCTGATGTACATGATTCTTGCTTCTCTGCGATTGCAATGACCATCTTTGGCAAGACTAGCTCCTTGTGATCATACTTGAACTCTTTGCTATAGAATGGTTTAGGACCTTTTGTACGTACTTGTACTCATATTGGCAAAGCCTTAATGTCTACAGTTTTTTCTTCTTGCATGTCATCGAGTCTTCTTGAAATCAATCTCGATTGATCCTGTCTGCTGCTGATGCAGCTTCCCGCTTTTGATGTATTGCTGAGTTTCCGTGATATTTGGCCCTCTCACAAACAGAAAATATCCACAAGCAAACCCATTGGAATGATATGCAGTGCATTCTTGAACTTGTTTCTCATTCACTGGCACAGGTTCACGGATTGTACAGTAGGATACGATGAAGATCGCTCTTTGATTTTCCTTGACAACTCACCAGGCAACAAAATAGAAACGACGATGGTCAGGGACTTCGTGCAAGACGTTCTAGATGATGGTCCATCAGCGTTTGGTCTGAAGCATGGAACGCCACATCATCTCACGAACGAGCTGCTATCTCTCACTTTCGGGCGACGTGGGGGAGATACCAAAAACGACTTCGGTTGTTGGAACGATGGCGAGCAAGAAATCATTCAGCAGCTCGAGGAGCTTTCCAAGCAAACGAAGACAAGAGACAGGCGGAAAGGAATCAGGATCGAGCATGAGACTGCCACGACGTACATCAAGTTTCACAAGTCGCCTGTGAAGGAGGGCAGGAAGGAATCGAAATCAAGTTCACTGAATCCCCCACAAGGAGGGTCAAAGATCGAGACCTCCTATGCCCCCAACGACGGCAGGTTGAAACCGGTCGACATGGCGGATCAGTTCATGATTGTTGGGATGGATCATAACTCGAGGAAGCATTCCAACTTCTTTGCCTCCCGTCCCCGGAGAGATTCTCCGTTCAAGGTTGCTCTCCCTGCGCTGATCCAATCCTTTCTGACTGACGATCTCTTACCTAAGGTCGTCGAGCTTGTGAACAGGTCTTTTCCTCTGCCCGACAGGAGGCAAGAGAATGATATCCCGAGGAACAGCGACACGACTCTGATCATCACAAACTTCATGTCCAGCAAGGACGATCTGGCTGCACATCGCCGAGAGTTTGCAGGCCGATTGGAGGAGCACAGACACAAGTTGGTCTCGCCACGGAAGGAAGAAGTCAAGGACGATGAGCACAAGGACTTGCTGGCTGCCCTCTCAGTCAACCTGCTGCACGGAGGCAGCCGGGGGAGGGGAGCAAGGGCCGGGGGCTCCGTCACTCATTGCGACAAGACGGAGTCAGTGTCGAGCAACTCTAGCGCTGGGAGGTCGAACTGCAGCAAGGCCTCGTCGTCGCACAGTGACCCTGTCAGCCACGAGCATCTACTCAACATCCTCGACGTCCAAAGGCTGGCGGCTCTGCGACAAGAATCTTTCTCAAGGGATCAGGTGCGACCTCTTAACTGCTTGTTTCTGTGTTTTCTTCTTGTGCCTTCTCCTCCTCCTCCTCCTCCTCGTCCGTCTTCTGCTTCCTGACCCTCTTCGCAGGTTCAGCAGGTTAGAATACACAGGGAGGAGGATAGCGACAGCGAACATTCTAAGCACATGGGAGCTATAAATCAGAACCTCTTTCCGCCAGTCAGAAACAATCGACTAGGAATGAGGAAGAAGCGTGCAAGTTTGAAATCGGTGAGATCCCTCCCTGCCCTTCCCTTCTCTACTTCTCTCTTTTTCTGTCTTGTCCTCTGCTCCCTTTACACGCACTCCAGTCGTGTGTGAACCCTGACATGTTCCCGCAGCAAGTAAGCATGTCCCCCAACTATGACTCCCTCCCTTCCATCATCGTGTCCTTCAGCCCGAAACGAACGAATGCAAGGCTGCGACTTGACAAGCTTGACCGGGGAGCGATCTCAGAGAGCGATTTGGAGTACGGTAGAGATGACAGTCGATAACATTGGGGGTCAACTACCTCCACATGTGTTTTCTGTATTCTTTCAGTGTTGTATATGAACTATCTCCCTCAAGGACCGCAGCGACGCCCAGCCAGTATGCTGGCAAGGAGGCACAAGGATGTGAGAAGGAGCGAGGAAGAGCTCTGGAGCCTCTCGCCGTCGGACGAGTAGAACTTGGTTGCATTGTCGCCTGAGAGTTGAAAGGTGAGATCACGAGGGATTCAGAGCAGGACTAGTATGACCACTATACAATGTGTGAACGATGTAGGAATTCCAAAAGAGCAGTGGCAGTGGCAAGGGCATCAGCAAGACAAGGGGCTGGAAGAGGAGCTGGAGTAGGAGCTGGAGTAGGGGCAGGGGCCGGGACAGGAATGGGTTATACCAGTCAAGGTGTAACAATAGTCGAGAGGGTTCTTGCATTCCTCGAACTTTAGGTTGCACTCATCACCTGTATTAGAGATGTCATGCAGGCGATCTTCCAAGAGGAGGGTGAAAGGAAGAAGAGGAGGATTGTGGTGCTTGAGAGCGAGCCAGGCGAGCAGAAAGACACGGAAGAGCAGGGAGCAGGTAACAGGGGGTAAGGGATCGTGTAGGAGACATAGAGGAGGGGAAGAAGGAAGGATGAAGGGGGAGGATAGCTTCAACTTTCACACATACTTGAACAGCACTTGTAAGCACAAGCATCCAGGATGTTGTTCCCAACGGTCTTAGTCCTCCCTGCATCACAGATTGCTCCAGCTTTCGTGGCATAGTCAACACACTGCAGGAAGAAGACCACAAGATTAGTTGTGAGAGAAGGCGGTAAGAGGAGGAGAAGGAGGGGGGGAGGAGGGGGAGGAGGAGGAGGAGACGGAGGAGACGACAGAGAGGAGACGAGGAGACGAGGAGGAGGAGACGGAGGAGATAGGAAGAGCGGGGAGGAA